AGTGCCGGAACTAAGTAGCGAAAATGAAGACAATTCCGGAACTAGTTTGATGATATAACTATTTTAGAAAATCAGTTTATGTCACATACACATTGCGTGTTTCCACCACTTTATTGTCTTTAAGCCTAATGGCTTACAAGAAAGAAAGACAATAAAGTTTAAAAAAAGATTATTGTGTTTTGAAAATAGTTTGTGATAGATCTCTTATCTGGATTTAGTTTTTTTTGAAGATTGTCAGTAATTGAGTACAAGAAATCACAGCGAAGTTTTAGGTTAAAACATGTTTGCTATACGCTTGTGCAAAGTATGTTCTTCTACCAGACACAAATGTCGGGATACGAGACTGTACCGGGACTTCAGGACCAGCGACACATCCTTGGGTGGATTTCATCGGCCTGGTGTCTAGTGGTTAGGAACCCTGACTGCTAAGCCAGAGGTCATTGGGTTCCATTCCCACTCAGTACATATAATTGTGTGACGAGCACGATTTGTTCTGTATCTGTCTAATTTATTTATTATAGGTATGTATTTAGAAATGTATAAGTATGTTTATTAGCAGTCTGGTTACCATAGTAGAGGCTCTGCCTAGTTTGGGAGAAGACGGCCATCTGTGAGATGTGTCAAGTTTATTTTATTTTTATATTTTTTATATTTTAGGAAAACTTACAGGTAGTAGTAAAACTAACATAAGGCTAATAGGTGAAGGCCAAATAAAAGTTTTCACTGCTAGAACAGAAAGATACAACTCTTAAACTGAACATATTATATATGTAATTTGTTTGTTTTGTTTGGTCAAAGAAAACGTTGCTCAGTTGTTTTTTTAATTTAGTGACACTAGTGGAGAAAATATCAATATCAACACTCCGGCATTCCACATTATACATACGACTTGCTCTGATATGGTATGAGTTTTGCCTGTAGTTAGGATCTACAACGGGCAAATGCAACAAGTTAAATCGTCGAAAATGCGCTGTCGGGACATTTAAAGTCATTTTGCTCACCAGTTCTGAAATGTCGATCGCTCCTCTCATGATGCTAAATAAAAACGACAGGTCCGCTATTTTTCTTCACTCAATAAGTGGCAGAATATGACATTTTTACACCGGCTCGTGTAATCAGGTAAATAGCAACTGCAATGATATTGTATATATCTTAAAAACCTTTTCTGAATGCGCTCTATTCGATCAATGTAGACGTTATACATCGGATTCAATACTTGAGGACAATATTCTACATGACTGCGAACGAGGGAAGAATAAAATATTTTTATTGTTTAATATTTTTAAAGTCTGCTGAGACTGAGTAGCAACCCCAGTGCTTTGCAGGCTTTGCTAACAATGTAAGTATAAAGTTATTATTATTATTCCGTCGCGTCGCTACTAGTGCTAGAGTTCTCTTTTATTTGGTTATACATCGTGTATCTCAACTCACTACTATCAACTTTAACCGTGAATAGTTTATTTAGAGCGGTTAACAAATAATAAAGTGCGATTGAATTTTTTTTCTTTAATTATTCTGGTACTTAATAATATATTAAAGAACCAATAAGATGGTCCTATCGCTTTTTATCAATATAATGTAATAACATTTAATTGATTGTATAGTTTACAACAATGATATTATATACAAACAATATATTATACAATATATTATAATTATATATATTAATATATTAATATATTATAATAACCAGTTTTCATTAACATCACCACCTGAAAACCTCTGCTTATAAAAAGATTGTTCTGTGCTGCCATCGAACCCTCAGAAAATCTCATATAGTCTAAGATCCGACTGCAGAATCAATGCACTCGTCGAGTATGTGTTAAAAACCCAGTTTTTACGCATATTTATGATTAGGAGATTATATATCTACTGGGTTGCCGATCAAAATGTGGCCGCCGTATATCATAATAAACAGAAAAAATAGCTTTAATTTGATATACAAATAATAAACATACGTTTAGAACGTATTAATTTCTCAACATCATACCTGTTGACACCTGGCTGCGAAGAGGTGCGGCTGAGTGCGCAACGGCAACCATGATTTTTATATATATTGCCGTGAAGTGGACGATATTTTATTTAAAAAACAAGTGAACGAAATGTCTTCCCAAAAATCAATTAACAAAATTTTTATTAAAATACTAGCGGCCACATTATGATAGGCAACCTGGTAGATTAATCATGTAGTTTCTTTTAAATAAATATTTTTTCACAATTTCGAGTTTTTTTTTTATCTTGTTCTGTTGCAGTTAGGCGCATACAATTTTCACATCTAATGTTTTCGAAATCAAACGTTTAATTAAAGATTTTAAAACTGAGAAAGCTCTTTTAATACTTGGAATACATAAAAAATCATTTTTCGTGGAGGTCATTGACCTCATGTTTTAAAATTTTTATTTCCTAAATTAAGAATTATATCTAATCGAGTGTTTCTTAGTATGCTTTATTATGATCAAAACCATTGAAATCAAACATAAAATGAAGATGTCCGGAACTACGGCGAAATAACACGCTGTGCGCTGTGTGATAGTTTATTTCAACCATTCACGCTGCGTCACCACCTCGCCCACACAGGCTGTCTGCCTTGACCTTCAAAGTTAAGGCAGCATGTTCATTTTCAAAGCTTCAAATGTGTATTATGTTCTTATGTTTGTTAGAAATATTCGTTTCTAATGTTTTTTTTTAAACAGCAGATATTTTTTATTATTTTTCAACCATTAATATTTAAGCGCAAAAAGTAAAGAGATATAATAAAGATGGAGCCTTTTTCTTGCAGTCGTTAACTGCGTTATCTTAAACGGAGTGACGGTCAGAATACGATAATAAATTACTCGTAGTGTTTCAAATTCAAGACTAAAAATTTAATGTCGTTAGTTTTATACAGAAGTCACCTTACCTTATTTCACATCACATCACATCAACAGCCTTTAATAGTCCACTGCTGGACATAGGCCTCTCCTTAGAAAGAAGATTTACTTCCAACCCCAGCTCTTGCAGCTTGGAGACTGTCTGTTGCGCAGTATGGGGTCGCGCGTTGTCGTGAAGGAGCAGTGGGGACGACCGATTGACCAAAGCTGGTTGCAGATGTGACCACCAGACCTTGCACCTACCGACTATTACTTTTTCCAAAATTTAGTCAACTTTTTAGTGGGTAAAAAATTCAATTCCCGAGAGGCAATACAAAATGCCTTTGAAGAGTTTGTTGCCTCCCTCACCTGTCCAGCTGATTTTTACAAGAAGGGCATCAATAAATTGCCAATGCGTTGGCAAAGATGCGTCGATTGCATGAGTGATTACTTCGAATAACAGAAATAAAAAAGTTTGAAAAAATAAGTATTTTCGCTTATTGCATACAAAACGGCAATTTCATAGGTAAAGACCTATTATGTTAAAAAATTAATAGGCAATTTTTTTTTATTAATCTTTTATGTGTACGTTATGTCTATTGACGATTTTTTTGAATCATTTAGAACATAACTACTCCAAGGGTTAGTCAGATACATATACAAATAACTACACACTTTTTATTTTTCATTTCCTTCATATAGAAAATAACATACTACTATTAGTGTACTCAATTGCAATGCAAATAAACCAGAGCCACTATGAATTAAAGCTGTGTTCAGGTTAAAGAAAGCTGGGATGCTTTCAATAAATTTTCATACGTGTGTGTGCATAGTCACTTTTCAACTTTCGCGTTACATGATGATGATTACGAACTGACTCTGGTCAGGCTGACAAGGAGGACTCTGATTGTGACTAGGGCCAGTGTAACCTGGTTATAACGCGAGGTGTGTCTATGTTTTCTAGTACACATTCAAACAAATTTCGGATATACACATGTGTATATCCGAAGTTCGCCGAGGTGTTGGGGAAAGGCTTATTAAGCGCCCTTATTTCGCTAACTATAATTTCAGTCCTACTTGCCTAACAGGGGAAAAGTCTTTTGTCGTCAACAGGGTTGGCGACTAATGGGTACATTAGTTATTACATGTTTTTTTTTAAAGTAACTCTCGCATTAGGAATATCTCCTGTGTCGCCGGGGACTTTACACACATACATGAAACGGACATAAAGAACACCCAGACTCAATTTGTGGATCGTACAAAGTCGTCCAAAATTGGTAAGCGGCGTGGCGACCGCTTAAACCACTACGCCATCTGTGCAAAATTGGAAGAGTATTGAATGTAACAATCCAGTATTTATTTATAATTAACCTTTGATTTGTCGCAGGTATCCTATTTAAGGAGTAGTAGACTTGTAGTAGTTGTTGTCATCCTCGCGATGCTATCGATTTTACTCAATATTCTGGAGCGCCAATAAACGAAATACATATATATATTTAATGACATTTGAATACCTTAACTTTTAACAAGGCTTCCTGCATAATAAAAAACGCGTCAAACAACAAGAAGCTGACATAAAGGCTGGCGAAAAAACCCGTTCTCGTATCTTAAAATATAGAAATGCGTGCTTTTGCACAATTGCAAAGGTGGTGAGGTGAGGTTACAAGGACGCGAGTATTGATTTAAGTAGGTACATAAGGAAATAAGGTATTGAGTTTGAAGCGAAAAAATACTTGCTGTATCGATTTTCTTTATAACCTTCTTAATTAATGAACCTAGCACAGACAGAGTGACCATCACAGTGACCCTGTTATACATTTTATGGACATTAAATATTACATAAGTGTAGTATACGGTACTGACTATATAACAGCTAAGAATAATTTTGAATCAAATTCTTAACCATACAATACTAATATGTGTTTTTTTTCTTTTTACGTGTATACTCGTACGTTTCTGGGATTTTGTATCAAGGCATTGCCAATTCATTATTTTTTACATGCGTTGAATTTGAAAAAAGTAAAAGAAAGATCAAATAGGCTGGCCATTTGCTAATTTATTGATAATATTTTTATTCAAACATGTCACAACTGATAATGATCCGAGTTGGTAATAAAAGGCTCATAATAACCATAAAAATTTTCCTTCCAGATATGCATGGCGTTGTCAGCACTCTACCACACGTTTTCGTGTCGATCGGAGTATGATTACAACACGTTCCTCATGTACGATCTCTTCGGCATCGCGCTCTCATTGCTAGCTATCTACACTTCCGGCGTGTATTATGCGTTCTGGTGTAATTATGTGAGTATATATGTATAACTAGCTGACCCTGCAAACGTTGTTTTGCTATTTACATTATTTTAATTATTTTTTTTTGAATTTCTTAAAATCCGCTCTTAGCTGACCTCTACTCGGTGAAAAGTATATTCCTACCAAATTTCAAGTCTTTAGCTCTAATGGTTCCAGAGATATCGTGATGAGTGACTATATACGTGGAAATCTCTTATATACGTGGAAATCTCGTATATATAGATATGCAAACACACAAGCAAACGTGCACTAGCAAACGTTCTTTGTCGCATTTTCTGATTTGGTTTTATAGTCCAATATGATCGCTAATGGTCACTATAAATCTATGCTTATGTATAATGCATAAATCTATGCTTATGTATAAATCCAAGTAAATATATATATTTAAAAATGTCAGGTTTATTTGTGTACGCTTCAAAAACTCAAAAAGTTCTTCACCAAACATTTTGACATTAAACACAACCTGCTTCAAAGATTGTTTTTATCTATTTTTCGCGACAGTTCTGTTCCTCATTTCTCATTAATGCAAGTACAATTTACCACAGCGAAGCTTGGCAGGATACAGCTGTAATGTAGCAATCTATATATCAAGAGAAGTATAAATCTTAAACCTCATTATGACTGAAACTAAGTGTGTCAGAAGTCTTTTATTTAATAAAATATTTTAGACGTTTTATGCAGATGTAGATATTAAAATAAATAGATTAATTGAAATAAAAATAAAATACTCAACTGTTGAATTAATTATGACCTTACCTAACCAAGATTTGAGGCTCATTGTAGGTATGTTTCTTTGCCATAACCATCTAATGTTCAAATGTAATTTTTTTACGTGCTCATAACTTTCTAACATACAAATTATAAATTGGCGTCATCAAAAGCGAGGAATTGCCATTGGTTTTACCGTCAAGCGGACTGCATCGTTTTGTAAACATATTAGTATAAATTGCATGACCTTCTACGAGTATACTGTTACAAGTTTTAGCATATACACATAAATTATTATCCTCACTTATGATAAAACTGAATAAACATTTTGTTTTAACTGGGCTCAATTCTATGACGGGATGACACCATGGAGTCAAATGCCAGTGTTGCCAAATTGTCTCAGCAGGACTAGACTCACCCACTTAACCTATTAAGGGAAAATTATCTGGGGGTACTGTCTACTATTAGTTCAATTTCAACGCATGCGCATTAAAATTTCAAACGCTTATTCAACACCAACGAAAAATCCCTAAACTCGTCAAGTGACTCCTAAATAATTAACTTTAAAAACATATCAATGACTTCAATTCGTCTTCACCGAGATGAACTGGAATAAACTGTATTCGTCATTCCTTAATTTTCCAATTTTATGGAGGAACGGGCAGTAAACTCTCCTAAATATCAAATCATCAACAGCCTTTAATAGTTCACTGCTGGACATAGGACTCTCCTTAGAAAGGAAGTACAGTTATGTATATATACAGTTTGTTTTAAGTTTTTCTTGTCTTTGCAGTGCTGTTCTCCTGCGTAGTTTGCTCCCTTAGTCGGCTCTTGCGACACCCACGAGATAAATGGGGTGGTGACAGTCCGTATTCTTTATCCGTCACCACATTTTACAAATCGGTTCATGACAGAATTCTGAGGTAGAAAATATTAAGATTCCTCAGAACCAACCAAATTAAAAACCATTGAAAAAACATTAGAAAAGAAAAAAAAATGCCTTTTGAAAATAAGTTTAACTTATTAGGTGGTTGAATATCACAAGATTGATTACAAGACTGAAAGTCTCCAGTTAAAAGTAGGTATGCTGTAAACATTACAAATTACAGTTACTGTTGTTGAACTTTTCTGTCGTCCATTTTGGAAATTCTAATTGGAAGGCCCAATTTACTTTACAGTACACGTATTTTTAGATAAATTTCTTTCCTATATCAATGTATAAATCATGATTATATATTTACGAGTACATATATACGTACGTAAAAAAAAAAACGATTAATTTGGTTACACCTATGTACATATAAAATTAGCAATGTTTACGAGTACATACTGAATTTCTTTATGTTGCAATAGATTTTAAGGTCAAGGTGACACTAAGTAGTGCCACTGTACCATACAGCACACTTTGAGGGTTTCAATTATGGCTACATGTATGCGCATGCCTCGCCATCTTGTAGTAACTGACGTTGCAATACAAAGCCGCCAATGACCTTCTGTTTGTGTTTTGTTTTGTAATTTGGGTACATACTGTTTTTACATAATAAGTATGTGTGATTGTACTATACTTATGAGTAGGGAAATATAAATAACGTTGAATTCGCCAATTCCTAGAATTTGACACAGATTTTATTTAATTTATTTATTTTATTCTTTATGTACAAATTACAACTCAATTGTACCATGCCGGCCACAGGCATTTTCTCCTAGTCAACATATATTAAACATCATCATCATCAACAGCCTATAACAGTCCACTGCTGGACATAGGCCTCCCCTTAGGAAGGAGGTAGGCCAAACCTACCATACCACTTCTACTTATTACATTGATATTGATTGATATCAAATATTTACGATTCTTTAAAATAGTAAAAGAATAAAGATTCAAGGTTAAAACAATCTAAAAATAACATCTCTTTTTATACGAGCGATATTATAGAGGAAATCCTGTTCACCTAAAATCATATAATTTCACAAGTAAGGTCACTCGCAAATAAAGGCAAAACCTAACCTTTTTGACGTGGGAGAGCCATACTTTGGCACGAATGGGCCGGCTCGACCGAAATGATAAAACGGCCTCACAGAAAACCGGTGTTAAGCAATTCTTTCGTTGCCTTTCACTGAGTGAGTGAGGTTACCGTAGCCCAAACCCCCCCTCCAGCTGACTCGAGCGGGAGGGACACCCAAGGGCGGCACTTGTGACTTTTGAGTTGCAGGTGTCCATGGGCGGCGGTAGTTGCTTACCATCAGGTGACCCGTCTGCTCGTTCTAATCCATAAATCGTTAATTTTGTTAGACTTATTCGTAAGAGGTATCTGTGATGTATGCCGATGTACGGTATCTAGACATAGAAATTATTGCTTAAAAGTAGCAAAAAATCGCTGTGTCTAAGACCAATCATATTCATTTGATGAAATGATTGGTCTTAGACACAGCGATTTCACATGTGATTGTGGTTTCGTCATAGACAAAGATAAATGCCATTAAAATTAACCATTTTTTTTTTATCAGAGATTATGACCTTTTTTAATATATATTTAGACCTTTCGCGATTCTTGCGCTAGCGTAATAATAATAATAAGTCGCAGTGGTTTTGTAAATTAGTCACAGTTGTGATTGTATGATTTATAAATTATATAATTTATCACATGTAATTGATTTTATTCCATTCCTAACGGTAACACATTTTTTCTTCTGTAAGGTTAGCATGGGTCTAACTTAAAATAATAATTTATTTCGATAACTTAATAAAATTCACAGTTCTCGGGATGTACGAACTATCATCTGTCCATATATTCAACTCAACGGTTGGCAACGCACTTTGTGGCTCTTGAGTTCAGGTGGTCGCTTACCATCAGGCACACTTACCATTGCTGCAGTGCTATTCTCTAAGGAAACAACCTTGCGTACAGCTCTGCCATAGCATCGCACTTCAAACTAAGTTCGTTTGAAATTCGACGCTTTCGAGTGCTTTTTTTTTACGTGTGGAAACCCCCTCAGGCCGTCACCCCACCGAGGTTTACGGCGGGGTGGTGTGTCGGAATCGGACCGATTAAAACCACACAGTGTGCCACTCTGTGCCAGGAATAGGAGAGATCTGGAAACTGACGCTACAGTGCTGTTACAGCGTCTAATTTCACTAAGAATACCACGGCTGATGACCAGTCTGCTTGCTTACTCTTCTATACCACAAAAAATGAATCTGTTTAAAATAGTTTTAACATCTTAAGATCATCCACAAAATAAATGAAATCGACAGAGATTTACATCTAAATGTTTGTAATTCCAGGAGCTAAAAGTGTTTTACATGACGTCAGTGACACTAATCTTCGTAGTGGCGATGGTGATGCAGATCCCATGGCTAGGCGTACCTTACCTCGTGAAGATGTGCGTGTTCATCGCGTGGGCAGCCTACGGAGTGTTGCCCACGCTGCACTGGAGTTATGTCATGGGTGGTTTTGAAAATCCTATGGTCCAGGTGAGCACTGAAGAAGAAATTCCGCCTTCTTATGTCGCCAGTAGGTTTGCCAGAGCTCCGAAGGAGAGACATGTGACTGACGTTAAACGTATCTTCATATTTGTATAGGATTTATATAATAAATATTTTTTATAAGTTATTCAGTTACCTTGCATCGTCAAAATTACGTAAATTTAGACAATCATATACAACTTTCTAAAATCGATATGCCTTAATTTTTTTATATATACTTAGCGACATCTAGTGGCGGTTCGCTTATATCTCGATTCACACTGCTATAGGCACAGTAAGCAATATTTGTAGAAGGTAAGGATTTAACTTCAAAATCGATTTTCATTCGATTCAAGTAGTCATAAGACTTTCGCTTATAATTGCTACATTGATTTCAGATTAATAATTTCTCTAACCTGCCTAAGAAAAAGTCATACTTAAGTTTTTGTAGGTACTTAAACGTGTATTCCATCATCACCTTTAATGTTTACCAAATTTGAGTAAATTCAATTTAACTAAAAAATAATGACCTAAAACCATTCATAAATAGCAAAGACATCCCGTAAGATATTCACAAATGAAAAAAATAGTCAAATTGAGATTCTATTTCATTTTAATGTTAACGAGTATTAGAAAGTAAAGAGGATTGTTCTTTTCAGATGTTCTTCCCTAGAGTGATAGGGATGTACGTCATCAGCGGGACCGCATTTGCGATTTACGCATTTAAGGTAATATACATATTATAACAATATAATATCTACAAGTACAATTGGTATCATGAATTATATTTACAAGTATTAGAAATTCAAATTATTTTGAGAACGTATACAAGTCATTAACATTTTATATTAGTAAGAAAATAATAAATGTGTGTTGTTCAACACTTTAAAATTCGCTTCCTGATGTGGTTTGTTTTGTGTCTTGAGAATAAAACCACACACGTACAACATGTTTATAAAATTACTAGAACAATAAACCTCGCTCAGGTTATTCTTGTGGGAAGAGAGGCTGGATTCGATTAATACCTACCTATCACAATTATTGCAATCCAACCCGCAACATCTTAGCTTAGCAGTCAGAATGAGTAACTACTGGTTTCCTATAAATAATTAAATGATAAAAAAAAATATATTTTATTTCTTACAAATAATTATCTATTTTCCCAGATACCAGAACGTTGGTTTCCGGGTAAAGTGGATTACATCGGCCACTCTCATCAGTGGTGGCACATCCTGGTCCTGGGCGCCCTCTACTACTGGCACAACTCAGGGATGATGTACGTCCAGTACCGCATGAACCACGGCTGCGCTAACACTATGCGAATATTTTAAAAATACCGTCCATTTTATAACTTTAATGGTATGGATAATTTTGATAATTTCTCGCCTTAGGTACCTGAGAAATATTTTTATTTCTCGTGTTTGTAGAATTAAAAGGATCACCCTATTTAGTACGTATTCCATAGGTATGACGTCATGCCATTTCTATTTATCACTTTGTTCTCATAATGTGATATTAGAAGAATTCTAGTACAAAATTAAAAATGAATTGGCAGGCAAATGTCAAAATTAAGGTCACATCGAATAAAAAATATAACTTCTTATAACTTTGTTCTTTGATGAAATAAACACGCACTATCAAAAATTTATAGATGTTTTACAGTCTTGAATCTTAACATAATAATAAAATAATTTAATAACCAGACTGGCGTAAGTCTTTTTACTTTCAATGCCGCCAAAATGCCTGTTATGTGTACTCTGTGGTTAGGCATAAACAAGTTTTTAATAAAACCGAAGGGTATAAAAATACCAGTATTATCTGGCTGCTCAATTATGATACTTTATGAAATATCGTGCCTTAAACGGTTAAATTTACGTTTTAGAATTAGAAAAATAGTAAAATTTTAACTAAAATACTGAAAAACTAGAGTTTTTGTTCGTCTCCTTGAAAGAGCGAGTCTCTGGAACTATCTATCAGATTTGATTACATCTTATTGTATTGGATACAGTATTTTTTTCATAGAGGATGGCTATGTAACGTCACGCTACGTCCATAGCGGAGCAGTGACCATAAAGCAGGTGAAACTGCAGGGCAAAACTAGTTATATTTAAAAATCAAAATTTTGATTTTCAACGTTGCTTCAGTTTGGATCTGTACGTTTATCTTTGTAGTATCCATGATACAGAATGATCAAAAACCTAAGTGTTCTGGAGGATTTTATAGAACCCATCACAAGTGTATCGTTTTTATTGACTTAAATATTCTATAAAAATCGAATAATTAAATCAAGAATAAAGATCATAATTAATTGGATCGAAAAAATACAAAATTGTGTAATATATTTTTTAAATCAGATGAATTTAAAATCTTATCATATCGTTCTTGCAACAAATGACAGTGGTAAAATAGCCAATAGTGCCTGTGTTTAATATGACACATTACCGATTTAAAATTATCCATCACTGGATGATGTAGAATTGAATTTTACATTTATGTACTCAAACATTGTTATATCAAATCTATTTAATATTTTGTATTTTTTTACAACAATTAATATTTATCTTTAAAATTCTATAGAAAACGGATCATATTTTAGTGAGCCTTCTGCACACTGAAAAAACGTATACATAATAAAAAAAAACAATTAAAGAAATCTAATTAATATATTTCATTTAATTCTTTCTGTATATAGGTATTTTTGAATGCTCGGGAGTCAGAATCTAATGACTAATAATACGTATACAAATTTTAAAATTTTTTTTTGTATTTTAAAGGACTGATTTTTGTAACGTAAGTAAAATCACGGCTAGGAAAGGTCGATAGGCAATAATAAATTGATTTAGTATCCGATTCTACGCAAACTCCTTTCAGAGTGCGTTTACTATGTTGCTAACTGGAAATATTTACTGCTGTGCAGAGATTACATCTTATATCTAGGAATCACGTGATTCAATAAAAACGAATGAACGTGGTAATGAGATGTTTTATATTCTGTCAAATTGAGAATCTCATGACAAGTTAATTAATTTATTTACTTTATATCGACGCTCTAAAGTCAATCCTTGCTAAGCGACTACGTACGTGAAATAAGTTTTTTATACCATCCAAATCGTCAATATCGTGAGCGTTTCATACGCTTCTGCCTATCTCTGAGAATGTGTGTAAGTGGGTGTATTATTATGTCGAATCATCACATTGTTCTGCCTTATTAGGTTTAAGTAATATATTATACGTACTTATGTTGCTTAATAAGAACTGCCGTTTAAGCGTTATATTATTTTCATTTAGAATCCAATAATCTGTGGAGGTGTTTGTTAATGTGTATTGTTATGACATAGTAATGCAAAATTCGTCCTAGACGCTCTCACATCTGTGATTTCTGTAAACATTGTTTACATTCTAGTTACTTATTATTTATACTTTTTTTTTAGGAAATTGTTTTTACTTTTTTATATTTCTATGGTTTTTGGAATTGGGTTTACGTTAAGCATACATTTATTTAAAAACCTTAAACTGTGTTTTATTTTAAGCTCCCTTTAAGCCCCCCCCTTAATATACCTAAAACTACTATTTTTTTTTAATACATTGTAAGTCAGTACTAACTATGCATATTTAAGCTTTTAGTTTAATGACTTTAAAAAACTACTAGGTTAAATACAGATTTACATAGAAAAGAGGAGAAAACTACAATGATTTTTCCCTCACAAAGTAGAAAATGTTTTCCAAAGTTGTTAAAGCGCCATCTAGTAGGGAATAGTAAGCATCGGAAAACTATGATTCTACACTTTACTAATGCACACTAGATGTCGCTGCCGTTAGAAAAAATCAAAACAAGCGAGATAATAGATACATGACAGGAAACGGGTAATATTTTTCTTTTAAATTTCATAAAATATCTTTCTCAAATTGACTTAACAGTCAGGGACGTTAACGATTAAAACTAAATCGGTTAGGATATACCTGCTATATAATTTTTATTTACTTTAGTAACTTCCGATGAATGTTTCAAAGAACAAGAACCAAAATTATTTTGATGAGTCTGTTAGCGTTATCTGCTGAAATATAAATTGATGACTCGTTTATGCTCCAGTACTATTTCACTCGACCCTAACAAAATTATTTTGTAGTAGGATGCAAATTTTGCACGCCAAGCAAGTTTACCTGTTCACAATCAGTATCACAGGAATTAAGCGACATTAGCTCATGCTATGCATGGTTGTATTATGCCTGTGCATAGTTAAGACTGTCTTGACGTAATTGTCGCTAGTGAAAATGATGGCTTATAGTGAATATGTAGACAAACACACTTACCGTTAGAGTCACTTGTAAGTAAATATTAACTTATACATAGGGGTCCTTAATTTGAGCCATGCTTTTAATAAACCTTTTCATTTATCATTATCGAGTGAGCTCGAATATTATATGTTCAATACAGTGGAGAAACCAGCTATCTTGATTCGCTAAGAATATATTTGTTTATGGATATGGGCTGCCCTAGACCGGAAAGCCAGCGCTTCTAGGGGTAGGCTCTCATTCAGCAGGGGACGGCTAGTGGATAGGCTAACGATGATAAATATTTGTTTATTAGGATGTAGATTGGTAGCATAACGTTAGATACATTATATATATATATTAGTTAAACAGCGTCAGCATTAATAGTGAGAGACACTTTCGCAACCTCCGTACGTACTTGTGACACACATGCGAGACTTAAAGCAAGGTCCTTTATTCTGTACAAAAAACACTGATTCTCTATAACAACGATTTGAAAGCATAAACTCAAGCGAGCGTTAACACACTGAATCAATCGGCACTCATACATTATCTACAAAAAATAAAATTGAAAAGCTCAACTCCATCAAACAAAATAGTGATTTCACATATCAGTGAGTACGTATCCTTTTAGTTGTTGCATAAATGAATTCTGTCAGCGCTCACATTCGCGCTCACACACCGAGTAAACCGAAAGGTTTGGGGAAATGGAAAAACAAAAAGATAAACGGCCCAATATTTTCATTGCGCCGATGAATGGTTCGAGTGTTGATTCAGCCTAGTGGAAAATATGGCGCCTACCTACCTTTTTTGTTGCATCGAACGTAATCCCTTCTGATGAGCTATGTTATAACAGAATTGACTACTTGTAAATGAAATGCATCTGCTATTTTGTATTATACTTTCTCTATCATAAGATTGTTTATTATGATTTACACTTTATATGGAGTTTTCCAAATTTATGAATTTATTGAAAGTTTTTCTTATCGTGTTCAGTTGTAAATTTTATAACTCGCTTTTCAAATGTATCTACTTAGGTAAACACCTAAGTAGATACATTTGAAAAGCATGTTGAGTTTGTTGTATGAGTTTTGGGGTTTATCAACGTATTCACTCACAGCAAATCGGTCCTCGCACCGCTAGCAAACTAAAATAGTGAATTGAAAGAATTTTTTAATCAATTTTCTTTCTTTGTGCCGGAACTTTCATAAATAGGTATATCGCCCGCCTGACTGTAAGCTGTGCTTGAAGCGCGTGCTCCTGGTATAAGGTAGTCATTGTAAATCTGACGAAATGAAACAAGTGGCAACCCTACCTACTAACAAAAAAAAGCCTCAAATCCGTAGACAAATAATTGTTATTATCCTGCAGAAGGTGCCTATCTAAAAAAATGATCACTGTTAGTTATCAAATCAAACAAATTGTTATTTTTGTACTTTTATTATTAATTCCCAATATGAGGGATATCAAATGTGTCATCATGTTCAGCCACTGTCTTGCTAGGTCATCATGCATATGTGTAACACAAATTAGCAAGGTCAGTAAGGGGGCTAATCGCGTGTTCCCGCGGGGCCTCGCTGACGGATTGCCGCGCGATTGACAGCGACGTCGCTGCCTGACGTCGTCACGTGTCACAGCCAGTTTGTGCCGCACAACTGATAAAATGTTTGATCTTGTCTGCGAGGCAGGATAAGGATTGGGTTATTTATTAGCTGGAAATATTATTTGCGTTTTGTGAATTATAATTCTACCATGTAGGTACTTAATGTTCTTCTAGTAATAGTAGAAATATTAAGTCAAATATTAGAAATATCAGGTAAATGATTTTTGCTTATACTTACATATGTTATATTTCTGATGGGACGTTGAATACTTACACGTAAAATATTTAAGCATTATTAATCTATATTGAACTTTGTTGCGTGGATTCCTAATTGGAGGAATATAGGTATAAATGACTAAAAGTTTTGTAAAAATGTATAATTTTGTAGAAATTATGTATGGCGAATAAAAGGGCAGCAACGAAAACAATACAGTGCCTTTGGCAAAAATTAGGGGT